GGCCTCGTGATGGACGGAGCAGGACTCGGTGGAAGGCCTTTCTAGAACCTTCGCCCCCCGAGACCCCGTCTCTTAGCACTTAGCAGCGGGCGCGGTGTCGAGATAGGTCGGGGTCGTTGAGGGAGAAGTGGGAGGAGGTCTCTGCAGGGGCGCGGGCGCGGGCGCTAGGCTCCGGAGCATCGGGTTTCCGTTGTTTGGCTCCGGTCTGGACCGGGCCTTGGCCTGTGGAGCCGGTGGTTGCGGGGTTGGCTGCGAACAACCGAGTGTGACTTGGAGTACCGTGCTTGTTCTCCTGAGCGCAGGCGCTGCAGGGGTCCTCGCGAGCGGGGCTGAGCCCTCCTCCTCCGGAGGCCGAATGCGCAGCTACTGTGGGGGCGATGTGGGTGCTAAGATACTAAGTCTGCCTGGAAAGGACGGCGCCGCAGTGCTGGGCGCTCGGTAGAGTGTGGCTGCGGGCTGGGCACGGCCACAGGCGCCTGGCGTGGTGAGGGCGGAGGGTCTCCGTGGGTCGGCCCTGCCCACGCCTACTCCGCCCACGCCCGGCTCAGGAGGAGACGGGCCCCTTGGCTTTCGGGTCGTAGGCTGAGTCGAATTGCGAGGTGTTGACAAGACGCACGGAAGCGGGGCCCCGGTGCCACCTCACTATAGAAATGGCAGAAACCGCCTTTGAGTTGCCCGAGGTCATTGATCCTGCCGGTGACTGGGACAGGGCTGCAGGGCCCGTGGAGTCCCGAGCCTTTACCCCTTTCGGGTGGTTCGCAGTAACACGGTTAATGTGCCCTTGGTCAATGATGCATTATTTCAAGACGTGACACCGGCTCGGAAAGAGCTGGACTGTCTCCGAGAGAAACTGGTCAGAGACGATGGCCTGGTTCAGCATCTCAGAAAAGCCTTCCTGAGGACCTAAGTAGTGATCACGCTCATGATACAAAGGAAACTTCTAGCAAAACGTTTTATATCATGAAAAATAGAAAGCAGGTAGCAATGGAAGAAACCAGGACGGGCTGTAGCGATGGCTCAGCTTAAGGCTGCTCTTGCAGAAGACCCGGGTTCAAATCCCAGCACCCACCTGGCACCTGACAACCATCCATAGCTCCAGTTGCAGAGATTCAGTGCCCTTTTCTGTCCTCCGAGGGCGTTGCAGGACACAGGTGCATGTACATACATGCAGGCGTAACACTCATACACATAAAATAAAAATAAATCCCCCCAAAAAGAAACAGGACTGAAAATAGGGAAAATGAAGAGGAAACCAGGTAAGCATGTTGTGCCATCTGTTTCCTCTGATCTCTCTTTTTCAGTGTATTATAATACACAGAACAAAATGAGCTGGGCACTGGAAGAATGGAAGGAAGGTCTCCCTACAAGAGCTCTACAGAAGATTCACGAGCTTGAGGAACAGCTGGACAGACTGAAGAAGGAGAAGCAACAGAGGCAGTTTCAGCTGGATGCGCTTGAGGCTTCCCTGCAGAAGCAGAAGCAGAAGGTATGGCCAGCCCCTTGAGACAGTTCAGTCACGTGTGGATTGTTTCTTCTATTTCACTGCTTTCTTGGGGAGAAGGGACCTTTCCATCTTTAGGTAAAATCTTCTCTTCCTCTTGACAGATACTTTAAATTATCTCTGATTTTCTCCAGCTGTGACTTTTATTTTGGCCTACTTGTTTATGTTTAGGACTGTCACTTTTTTTCTTTTTTTTTTTTTTTTTTTTTTGAGACTGGATGTCCCTGTAGCCCCAGCTGTTCTGGAACCCACTATGTAGACCAGGCTGGCCTTGAACTCACAGAGATCCACCTGCCTCTGCCTCGAGTTCTGGGATTAAAGGCGGGATTAAAGGTGTGTTCGGCCTTGCCTGGCTCTTGTGTTTGAGAAATGCTTTTTTTTTTTTTCTGCCTTGTTCGGTAAGTCCCTGGCTTTAAATCTGGACTGGGATGCTGTTTCTGACATTTACAGTTTAAGTGGATGGACATTGTTTTCTGACAGTGAGCTGTTCACTTTGGTGTTCCCCAGCATCATCTGTGCAGGAGCACTAATTGAAACATAATACTTCTTTTTACCTCGGTGTTAGTCAGCAAAGTAGTAGTATAGCCAAGGCTTGTAAAATAATCGATTTTGCTTATGAAAGAATTTTCTGATTTCTTAAAATAACTGACTTTAGCAGTGAGAACTGAGGATAAAACTAGTTATACAGTTCATTTGGTTTGAAATTCTCAAAAGGATGTTAAAGCCTCTTCTTTTAGGATGAGGGAATGTACCCCTCCCAAAGTGTATAGTATGAATTTTTCATTGATAGGCCTCCGAGTTTGGTCATTTAGAACTTCTGTGGTCATGCAGTGTGGATCTCTGTCTTACTAGTAGCATATCTCAGAAAGTTGGACGTGTTAGACTTAAGATGTACATGCCATACTTGATAAACACACAAAACACAAAATAAGAGACTTTTTTTTTTCCCCCCTCAACAATCTGTTAGGTTGAAAATGAAAAAACGGAGGGTACAAACCTAAAAAGGGAAAATCAAAGATTGATGGAAATATGTGAAAATTTGGAGAAAACAAAGCAGAAGATATCTCATGAACTTCAAGTTAAGGAGTCACAAGTGAATCTTCAAGAAGGCCAACTCAACTCAGCCAAAAGACAGATAGAGAAACTGGAACAGGAACTTAAGCGGTAACTATTGAATGGTATTTATAGTGTGGACATTGTATTTATCAGATGTATTAGGGTTTGAAAAATAATGGACAGCTTTGGGAGGAGGCGTCTTCTGGCCTCTGTGGGCACCTGCGTGCGTGTGGTATGTATGCATAACACGTAAAATAGAAACAAGATCTCCTTATTATCGGGGTTGGAGAGATGGCTTAGTGGTTAAGAGTACTGGCTATTCTTGCAGAGCACTTGGGTTTGATTCCCAGCACCCACATGGTGGCTGCCAGTTGTCCATAGTTCCTGTTTCAGGGGACTCCAACCCCCTCTTCTGACTTGGGAATTGGATAGCATGGGTGCACTTAAACACATGAAGGGAATACACTCATACACATAAAATAATAAATAAAATATTATTGAAATTTTTATTAAACATTCTACAGTTAAAGATGTTAATGAAAATTTTAATGGTATCTAAACATGCTAATTTAGAAATGTTATCTTTTTTTTTTTTTTTTTTTTTTTGTAGACCAGCGGGGCATCCAATTTTCTTGCCTCCCGTGTGCATGCAAAAGCCTAGAAATAGTGTCTTCTAATGGCAGCATTTTGCCTCTAACGGTATTATAGTAACTAAAAGTAGTTCAATAAATGGCCCCAATTGTAGGCCCAGAATAGTGGAGAACAGAACCCCAGAGACTAAAATAAACAGGAAGCAGTTTATTGCACCTGTACAGTGACCAGAGAGATTTCTCAGAAACAGGACCCCCAGACCAAGAAATGCTTTTGTGCTTTGTGTACAGTTCAGTTTCTGTGTCTCCCACATATGGTGATGCACATGCCCTGATGGAGTGCTCTGTGCTGCGGCTACGACAGGCAGAGCCGTGCAGGTGAACTTAGGCGCAGATGGTGCTGTGCATTTCCTTTTCTTTGTTTTGGGGCCATGGGGGAGTGGTCCTGCTGTAGTTTAGCAGTGTCAGTTTTAATAATGTAGGCATAAATGTTTGGTAATACTTTAGGAATAGATGTTTTATGTACATTTTTATATTTAATTATAGAGTACCATTTAGTAACAGCATTTGTAGATAAATGTGCTTAGAAGTGTACAGGAACACAACCATTATGTATCAGCATTAATATCAGTGGCATTACTTTTCTCTCTTGTCATTGTGGGTTAGGACATGTCTAGAGCACGTGTGCTGGAGAGCCTGGGTTGTCAGCTGACGCCTGGCAAAAGAGAACCTCCCTTGGGAATTTCCTCTTCCGGACTAGCCTATGACCATGTCTCTGAGATGTTTTCTTGATTGTTGAGTGATGGGGGGGTGGGAGCAGGGGGCAAAGCCCAGTGTGCGTGGTGCCACCCCTGAGCAGGCAGTCCAGGTGGTATGAGCAAGCAGGCTGAGCACAGGCGAGTTGGGGCAAGCCAGTAAGCAGGGCTCCATGGCTTGTACTGCAGCTCCTGCCTCCAGGCTCCTGCCCTGAGTTCCTGCTCTGGCTTCCCTCAATGGTGAACTGTGATTGGGTCTCATAAGCCAAATAAAGCCCCCCCCCCCCATCGTGCAAAGAGTTTTATCATAGCAACAGAAAGCTGACTAGAACAGTGCACTTGGTTTAAAAATATTCTAATTCGGTATGGTGCTTACTGATGTTTATTAGTTTTAAAACTACAAATATTTGAGTGTAGATTAAATAAGAGCTGTTGGGTCCAAAAACTTGTAAATACAGTTTTCAAATTCTTACTGATAACTTTCCAATGCAGCATAGGAAAATACTTTTTTTCATTGATGGCCACTGATGACATGTCTGCTTGGGAAGATCCCAACCATTTCAGTATTTGTCAAAACTTAATGTTTGTAATCTTAGGATTCAACTTACTGCAAGAACAGTTTGGTGCTTTTTTAGTGGTAGTTTTTTTTGCTTGGGGGAAGGAGCAATAAAAGGAGAACTTAAAGTCAGGGAGGGTTGTGTTTAGGGTTGTAGTTTTACTCTTTAAAAATAACAGGTTATAAAGATGTAAATTTGAGGAGAAAAAGCAAATTAAGTAAAATGAAAATTTTCACTTGTTTAATGCGACTATAACATTTTTATTACACAGTGCTTTGCCTACTTTAAATTCAGCTGTTAAGTTTTAATTTACTGAGTTATTTTCAGCTTATAAATTGCGTTGTCTTAGACTGAATCTGGATCTTCAGGAGATGGAGAGCATACGGTTCCTTCCCGGTGTCCTTCACTCAGTGCTGAGGCCATACTGAAGGGAGTACTGCTTACATGAGCCGTTCTAATGGGATGGTATTTGCTCAAGTATTCTCAGACATTAGAGACTTGAAGTAACCGGATCTTTAAAACAAGATGAAGCACTCTTTTACATGACATGTTTGGTTCTGAAAGGCGTTCAATGAATGACAGAGATATTCTGTATGTATCTATAATACTTAGAATCCCTACTCTGTTTCTGAGACGAGAGAGACCCATCTTTCCCCCATGTACTGGGGAGGTGTTACTAATAAATTGCCATTAACACCTGTTAAAATCAGTATTTGTCCTAGTACATTCTTGAAAGCATTCCTAATGTTATGTTTCTGTAGATAAGCACAGTGGGGCCTGGGGCATTTTGACTCCTTAATTAGCAGTGGTTGGACTCTGCCTTCCTGCCCTCACTTGCTGTCTTGAACAGAGACTGTACATACAGCCAGACTACCCTTACACCAGCACCAGCAATCTGGAGCACTCCTAGGATGCGCTGAGAAAACCACTTGATGGTCACAGCTCCTTTGGCTCCTGAAGGTTGCAGCTTTAGCCAGGCTGTTAGAAACAAGTTTACATCGGCTTTTTGCTATCACAAGCCCCAGTGAGCTCTAGATGACCCTACAGCTATTTCCCCTGGTGGTCCAGTTGTAGGACTGCTATGACTTGTGCTAGGAGGCATGGTTGTGATTGATCGGTCCAAAACAAGCCTCCATGACTCTGATTGGTGTTAAGAGTAAGGCTGTGGTTGTTCCTAACAGTCCTTGGACTCTTTAAGCAGGCTGCTCTGGCTTACAGTCGTCTGAGGGGTCCCTTCCTTTGCCTCCCCTGGAGGCTTAATATCAGGCTCAGTAAGAAGCTCATCTTGAAAACCCAGAATTGTCTACTTTTAGTAGTGTGGACTGAGCAGGTTAGACAAATACAGAGACAGAGCAAGCACAGTGGCAGTGGCTGATACTGGGCAGGCCAAGCTGAAAATGGCAGGCTGTGCAGGACGTAGAGAGACGGTAAGAAGGGACAGACTGAGACAAACCGTAAAATGATCAAGGAGCCAGAGAAGAGAGATTGCCAGCCATGCTTGTCGAAGAATTGCAGAAGAATAGTCAGGTATTCAGGGCCAAGGGTCCCAGACCCCAGCCGAGCCTGCAGTACTGGCTGCTGCCGAGGTCTGAGGAATCTGAGCTTTCTAGGCCCTCAAAAGAGCTGTCAACACTTGTAGTACACAAAGCCTGCAGAAAAACCACCCACTAGAGGGTGTCACTGTGGGCCATTGCTTCTGCTAGGTGCTGAGGGGAAGAAACTAAGGCTACCAGAGACCAGCACGTGCTGCCTGCCTGCCTGCAATTTCTGCCTAGATAAAGGAAAAATACCCTTAATGAGCTGATTGTTAATATTTCCAGCCATAATCTTTCTAGACATGCTACACTCATTTCTGTATCTCTGTAAAAACATTTCGTTACATCTGTTTGGTACATGTGTGTCATAGTGTATTTGTGTCATGGAGAGTGTGGAGGTCATTGGACATCTTATGGGAGTCAGTTCTCTTCCTCCACCATGTGGATCCCAGGGATCAAACTCAGATTATCAGGCTTGGCAGCAAGCACCTTTATCCACTTAGCCATGTTGCCTACCCAAGTCTATATTATGAAATGATTATCACAGGCATTGTCACCCATTCTCATAACTTGAGCCCATATTTTGGGATATCGCTTGTTTCTGCAGGTCTGGGTTCTTTTCATTCTGTGCCTTTTGCTTAGAACAGGTTTGCTTGGAATGCATCTCCAGCCTACATCTCTTGGCTGCTGTACAGGTCCTCATAGGTCTTCGTAATAATACTTTGAAGATGGAGGACTACATTTTACATCTGGTAAACTAGCTCTTACTAAACGTCTATTGGATAAATGGAACGGTTAGGACTTCTTAGGATGGGTTTCTTCATAAGCTTTGTTCTGGACATGTATGGCATTGGTATTCTGTAGCCTTTGTTTTAATCTGTTGGTGTCTTGGTTCTTTTCTAACAGGTGTAAATCTGAACTTGAAAGAAACCAACAGGCTGCACAGTCTGTAGATGTGTCTGTGAATCCATGCAGTACACCACAGAATGTTCTTACAGCTCCGCTAACACCAAGTCAATATTACATCGGTAAAGGTTTTTATTTGGTATAAGTAGTTTTTAATTCTGCACAGTAAATGAATTAGTTCAAAATTTTAAATTTAGCTTTTAATTTTGGTGCCCTCCATTGCATGTTCATTTGAATATGGGAATTGTGTTGACCACTGATGGTCGGCATTAATTTCATTCGAAGGAATTCAGCTTCAGAATATGGAGACACCCCTATTTCCATGTATTTTGGTATTTGAGTAATTGGATCAATATTTTGATGTTACCCTACAATGATCTTTATGTTAAATATCAAGATTGTCGTTTCAAGACTATCATAGTGCTCTAGTAATTCCTTTATGACATAATTGACATAAAAATCGCATTTCATTTTGTTTAGGTTCTAAGTATGAAGATCTAAAAGAAAAATATAATAAAGAAGTTGAAGAACGAAAAAGATTAGAGGCAGAGGTTAAAGCCTTACAGGTTCAGGTGAGTTCACTGTGGTCCCTGCAGTAGAAGGTGCAACTGTAGAAATCCTCTGCTTTAGTGTAAGAACACAGTAATCTGCTTGACATAGGGCTCCCTTGCTCATTGGTGGTGATTATTATTTTTTTGTTTTAAAAGTAGGGGCCAGCAAGATGCTCAGCAGGTCAAAGCACTTGCTGCACAAACCTGAATTTGATCCTCAGAATTCCATAGTTAAAGGGGAGACCTGACTCCCGAAAGTTGTCCTTTGACCTCCACTTGGGTGCTGTAGCATGTGTGTACCTGCCCTCACACACAACACTGATAACGAAAACAAGCTTAAATAGACAGGAGAGAGCTGGGTGTGATACAGCGTTACCTGTATTCTCAGCACCTGGGAGGGCCAGTTAGATGGACCCTGAGTTCTAAACCAGTTCATGGTAAAGTTCCCCTCCCTTCCCCTCCCCAGCCACACCCCTCTTATTCTCTACATGCTCTTAACTCTGGTTCTGCTGTCACCAGGATTATTGTAGCAAAAGCACTGCTTTTCGAGAAGAATAAAAAGTAAAATTTTCTGGCTTGTCCTAGACATACATACTTCATTTGGTACAAGTTCTGCCTATGATACTGATTATAAAGTTAAAAGGAGTGTGAGTGTCTATAAACATTAAGCCACCTCCTATAGCAAGAAGAGTGCTCTAAGATTGATGCAACACCTGTCACCTTGTCTTGACTAATCAGAAAGGCGGCACACATTCGCTGGAGAACAGTAGACAAAAAATACATATATATTTTTAAAATATTTATTTTATGTATATGAGTATTGCCTGCATATATGTGAGTGTACCCGTGTCATGCAGTGCCGTGGAGGTCAGAAGAGGGTTCCCCTGGAACTGGAGTTAAGGACGGTTCATAGCCGCCATGTGGGTGCTGGGAATTGAACCCAGGTTCTCTGCAAGAGCAGTCAGTTCTTAACTGCTGAGCCATCTCCCCAGCCCCAAGAAATATGTATTATAAAACACCCAGATGGCATTTCTGGGGAGAAGTAGTGGGTGAAAAGTGAGATGATTGAGAGTTCTGTAGGTCGATGTTTAATTTCATTCTTTTTGTGTAAAAGTTCATGGGGAGGTAACCAAAGATAGGCAAAGGAAAACCAGTTTTGGAATTTAAAATGACAGTAAATACTTCTGGGAATAATGGATCTATGGAGTATGGGACCCACACCAAAGGTACCTCCTTATCAGTAGATGGTGCCTCAGATGGTAGTTGCTCACCCATTCAATGAGATTGTGTCACTGGATCTTGGGATTTAGGGTTTTCCTACACCTGTGAGCATTGATTCTTAGTATGCAATGGTAGTGTCCACATCTTAGAATTATGCTTTATGTTCTATCAGTAAAGAAGTAGCCCTGACTATTGAGACTTCCAGTCTTGGAATGTGGCTGAGCAGTAATAATTCCTGCATAGCAAGTCCTGGGTTTGATTTCCAGCACCGAAAACAATAAAAGATAAATTTTAAAAATTTGAGATCACCAAAGAGCTGTAAAGAGTTTCTGATTTTACAGAAAGTGAGCCAGCCTACTCCCCAAGTCACCATGAATCACCGAGACATCGCGAGGCATCAGGCTTCCTCATCAGTGTTCTCTTGGCAACAGGAAAAGACTCCAAGTTGCCTTTCATCTAGTTCTCAGAAGACTCCACTTAGGAGAGATGTCTCTGCACCTCACTTTTTGGAGGAAGAAGTAGTGACTCCTAGATCAACTCTGCAAGCAGAGAAAAGAGATGGCGACAGCAGTTTTTGTGACAACCCAAATCGTTCTCTTCTTTTGGATCAGTTCAAAGCCCGGAATCAAGGTAACTTCCCGAGATAAGTTTAAATGAAGTTTTCCCTGGATGATTTCAGAGGGGCTCTAGGAAATCTTACGCCTGGCATGAGTATCACATACTTTGTTAGATACATTTGTAGTTGATATCCCAAACTGATGGTGTGAAATTGTACCTTTTCTGTAATTACAAAAGACATCACAGTTTGGAAAGAACTTTGATTTGTATTGAAAAGCCTGGTGTTTTCAGCCCTTTAAAAGCAGGCAGAGAGACTTTGATTTCGTTTTCCAGCAGCAGAGTAGTACAGTTCGCATTTCTCATGGTTTTCACCTGGCTCCTGTTGAGGCCCAGGACAAGCCTGTGGTCTGACCAGCCTTGGCCAGAGGTGTGGCGTTTATCTGTCCTACACTGCCAGGCTGCCCATATGGGAGCAAATCTGTAACCTGGGCTGCTGTGCCACTCTGCAGCTGACAGCAAAACACACCAGGTGGTGTTTGGGAATCTCTTCTGTGGACTACGATAATTTCTAGTGCTATGATACATTGAGAATCATCATCAGTGTTTGCTGGTGAGAACTGTCACACTGCCAATGCCATTGGAACCAGTATTGTATGTGCTGAGGACAAAAGGGGGAGGGAATCATTGTTAACTGTGGCAGTGTGGGAGGTTCCACTGTCTTTGTCTTCTGTGGAGGCAGAGCTCCCAGGAAATACAGCAGGATGAATATTTGATTGCGTAGCGGTAACTTAAAGTGATAATGAGCATAAGACAGTTTCCAGTGTGGAAAACCAAATGGTCATTTTACAAAGGGCGTAATTGTTTGTGTTAACACTTCTTGTACTGTTCGTTCATAAGCTGCTGTTATTTTAGCAAAGCATTCCTATACTGCTCTGTGAAAACCTAGAAAATGTATTTCTCCACTTTCTATAGCATATTTGAGTATAATGTCAATAGATGGCAGGTGTCGAAATTGAATCCAGCAAGGTGATTTCTGTGTTTAATCTAAATTAGAGTTGTCTCATCAAGGTTTCAGAATAAAGTAAAAGAAGTGGTAAGTTGTGAGTGCTTCGTAGTCATATATGTATCTATAAATATCTATGTATAGAAGTGAATTGGAATGCAGTTTCTGTTTGTGGTTTAAGATCTAAGAAGCAAGGTTAATGAGCTGGAACTACGTCTACAAGGACAAGAGAAGGAAATGAAAGGCCAAGTAAATAAGTTTCAAGAATTACAACTACAACTGGAGAAAACAAAGACGGAATTAACTGAAAAAGAGAAAGTTTTGAACAAAAACGGGGATGAACTAGTGAGAACCGCAGCACAGTATGACCAGGCAGCAGCCAAGGTATGTAGCTGTCGGCAAATTGTGGAGAGGTCATCTTTTTTTTATGCTTAAGTAAAGAAAAAAACTTTTAGTAAAGATCTTTGAAGGAATGTGCATGCTGGTAGTGTTGATGTAGTTGAACTACTAGGCTTTTTTAAATCTGGGATCTATCCTGGCTGTGCCTTGACCAGTAAGCTTGGCCAAGTCACTGATGTGTTCCTGTCTAGGGGCCATGCACCATGAAGATAACAGATAGTGCTTGGCACAATACATGGCTCATAGAAAAGGCAAAGTAACAGCTGGAAAAGAGCTTCAGGACACCGGGTGGGAGTTAAACTGTCTGTCTGCTCCTGGGATTCAGTTGTCAGTTTCTTAAGGCTCCAAAGGTCATTGTTGAGGTCGTACTCCTTTAGCCACGTCTGCCCTAGTCTTCTGTGTTCTCTCTGTTGCTCATTCTCTCACTGATGGTCTGTGTTGAGTGCCTGTTGTATGTCAAGGACTTGTCTAGCCTTGGAGATAACAGCACCAAGAAAAGATGAAGTTCTAGCTTTCTGGAGGCAGAAGGTAACAATAGCACAGCAGTAAGTCCAGAAAGTAGTGCCTTGAGTAAAGTGAAAGCACCACAGGTGTGGGATGTAGTAACAAACACTGGGGAGAAAAGTGAATTGCCTTTTAAAACCACCATGATGCTTTGGTGTTTTCTGAACCTAATCTCTCTGGACTGAGTGGCGTATCTGCCTACTTGGAATTCCCTCTGTTCCACAGCTGTTGGCATTTTCCTCATCCGTGTGTGCTCCTTCCCAGATACAGCGTGAGACATTTTCTTCTGGCATCTTCCTCACATCCCTTTCAGTTTCATTATTTACATTCTAACCATATGGTTCCTACATTTGGCTATTAGAATCCTAAAGAATTTATTTTCAGTAAATGTTACTTAGGAGGTAATATGCAAAAGTTACTGTAATGGACCTGGTTCTGTTTGCTTTTTTTGTGGACAGACTCGTTTCTTCTTTAATTAAAATTAATATTTTCATTTTAAGTGTATGGGTGTATTCCCTGCATGTATGTAAGTAAACCCATGCCGCGCTATGCCCACGGAGGTCAGAAGAGGGTGTTGGACTTCCCTGGAACTGTAGTTATGGACAGTTGGTAGCTGCCATGTGGGTGCTGGGAGTTGAACCTGGGTCCTCTGCAAGAACAGGCTGTGCTCTTAACCACTGTGCCATCTCTCCAGCCCCCCCCTCCCCCTCTCTCCCCCCCTCCTCTTTCCCTCCCCTTCTCCTCTACTCCCCTCCTCTCCCATCCTCTCCCTCTCTCTCCTGTCTCTCTCTTCTGACCGGGTCTCCCTATAGCCCCAGCTGGCCTTGAACACACAGAGACCCACTTGCCTCTGCCTCCTGAGTGCTGGGATTAAAGGCATGTGCCACCACACCTGGCTTAAAGGTTTTCTCAGCTTACAGTTAGCACTATATTGGCTATTTTATGTTTTCCATCAATTATCAGACATTCTTGAAAATGTCAGAGATTATGTATGTCTATATTGTTGCTTTTTTATTTTCTAAATTCCTTCCAAGGCCCCTTTGGTCTTTGTCATGTCCTCTTTATTCCTAAAGGGTATCTCTGGACTGAGTTTTATTCCCCAAAGTGTTGACATTTGGGTTCTGAGCTCTGTCATCAGTACCTGCCTTCTTTCTTACTCAATTGATCTTTTTTAAAGTAATGTTCAGAATTCTATGTGTTGTGAAGGATAGGTAAGAGTGTCTATTTCATCTTCTTGAAAGTGAAAGTCATGCTCATTTTTCTGGTTCTACTGTTGGAGTATTGTACAAATCAAATGCTTCTTAATTACTACACTTAATTAAAGGCCTGGGCCTGTGCTTGGGAACATGCTACTTGGCACATGTGGAGATTAGAGGTTCTCTTTCCACCACATGACTCATGGGAATTGAACTTAGGTTGTCAGCCATGGCAGCAAGTGCCTTTACCCTCTGAGCCATCTTGTTGGCCCTTTGAAATTTTTGGTAAACAATGGCTAGATGCTTGAAGGAGCAGCGGAGTGTCAGTGGGACCATGGCCTCTTAGTTCACATCCTTCCTCTCCTCATTCAGACTGAGTATGTGATAATACTTTTATTTTTCTGAGACAGGGTCTCGCCATGCTGCCCTGGAACTCACTACATAGACCAGGCTGGCTTCAAACTCAGCAGAGATCCACCTGCCTCTGCTGGGATTAAAGGTTGGTGGCATCAGTGCTGGCTTTGTGATAGTGCATTTGTATTTTCAGTTAGGACTTGCTATTGAGTCCAGGCTCTGATAGATCCCAGATTTGTTGCTTTTGAAACTATGTAACTTAAAAAGATTGAGGTGGTTTTCATAAAAGATTTTGCAATAATATTAAGAACAAGGTGAATTTGTGGACAGTTATGGCTTATTGAGTTCTTATTAATTAAGCCAATTTTTTTTTTTTTTTTTTTTCTTTACTCTGCCTAGCCTGGACTCCCTGTTGTTAAAATTAAATTTTTTCTTTAACATTTTAATTTTGGTTTTTGGTGGGGGAGGCGG